GCAATTTCACTTTCCTTGCGGAATAATAGTCTGATCAATTATTCCGTTAGGTAATGTTGGCGTTTATTGCAAAACTGATGTTTTGGATGCATTTAAACAACATAAACACTAATAAGTGTTGATTTTACAATTTGACCACATCTCCCTATAATCTCAAAATTTAGCAGCCTATAGCTGTCAAATTTTCTTTTGGGAAAAATCCTCAAAAATTACTTTTCCGTTTTCTTTTCAGCTGCGTACTAGGCTTAAATAGTATAAAAGCTACGCTAAATCGCAACTCTCCCGACCGACGCATAGATCGGTATAAAATGAGAGAATACGTACTTAGTATAAAAATGGTTTATACACTGAAATGTATAAAGTCGCGATATTGATAGGATGTATACAAGCTGTTTATTGGTTTGGATGCGTTTTTATTTTTATTTTTGTCAAGTAACTGATTAAGCCTGGTACGCAGCTGAAAAGTAATGACGTTTTTACGTGCTACGGGATAGGACACGGAATGCAAAAGAAATTACTTTTCCTCAGCATTTCTTGACCCAGTACGCAGTTCAAAAGAAATCGGTAAAGGAAAGATCGATTACATTAGTATCGTGATCGACATGAAGGTGGCGCATTCTGAATGCAATTTCACTTTCCTTGCGGAATAGTGGTCTGATCAATTATTCCGTTAGGTAATGTTGGCGTTTATTGCAAAACTGATGTTTTGGATGCATTTAAACAACATAAACACTAATAAGTGTTGATTTTACAATTTGACGACATTTCGCTATAATGTCAAAATTTAGCAGACTATAGCTGTCAAACTTTCTTTTGGGAAAAATCCTCAAAAATTACTTTTCCGTTTTCTTTTCAGCTGCGTACCAGGCTTCAAGCCTGGTACGCAGCTGAAAAGTAATGACGTTTTTACGTGCTACGGGATAGGACACGGAATGCTAAAGAAATTTCTTTTAATTAGCATTTCTTGACCCAGTACGCAGTTCAAAAGAAATCGGTAAAGGAAAGATCGATTACATTAGTATCAACAATCAATACGAAACTAACGATTTTAAATTGGCTCACCACTTTAGTAGCCTATTGGTCCCAAGCAAACGATTAACGTACCCTATTCTAGTTGAAATTCTATTACTACACTATGTTTGTTTTGATTCGCTATGAAAGTTTGACAGATAACATCAGGGGTGTGTGGATTCATGCAGAACATGCAGGGGTGAGTGAGACTTTTAGCATCTTTACAATTATTCATGAAATGGTGACGATCGCTATCGATTTTTCGTATGAATGGCTTTGAAGATCGATGTATGGAAAATTAAAGAAAATTAACAAAATGGTTGGTCGGGAGGCGTTCAATTGACTTGGCAACGAATAGAGCAAGTCCGATATCGGTCAGCCAAACGAACTGTCAAAGCCAGAGCCATACGGGCAGCGCCTATCTTGATTACATTGGAAGTGTTGCTGACCCTCTCATAGTCTGCATGCTTCAATTAGATTTATTTTTATTGTTCGTGACGTAGCCCACAATGAAAACACAACAATATTTAATGTAACAACAATTTTTATTGTAATAGATTTGTTCATTATTGTTCATGATCGAATCATGTTAACAATAAAATAAATGAAAAATACGATAAAAATCATTGTAACAACATTTTATTATGTACCTTCATTGTACATCCAACAATCAATACGAAACTAACGATTTTAAATTGGCTCACCACTTTAGTAGCCTATTGGTCCCAAGCAAACGATTAACGTACCCTATTCTAGTTGAAATTCTATTACTACACTATGTTTGTTTTGATTCGCTATGAAAGTTTGACAGATAACATCAGGGGTGTGTGGATTCATGCAGAACATGCAGGGGTGAGTGAAATAGCTTGGGACTGCTTGGGACCGTTGTTCTGGTACTGAGTGAGCCAAAAATAATAATGATTTTCCTCGGGACCCAGTGGTCTTAGAGTTACCTCTATGGTACATCTAGGTAGCACCAACAATCAAAACGAAACTAGCGATTTTAAATTGGCTCACTACTTGTCTACCCTATTGGTCCCAAGCAAACAATTAACGTACCCCATTCTAGTTGAAATTCTACTACTACACAATGTTTGTTTTGATTCACTATGAAAATTTGACAGATAAAATGAGGGATTAGTGGATTTTCTTATGTTTCGAGGGGTGAATCGATGAGCTTGGGACCGAAGAGAGTACCAGAGCTGAGCCAAAAAGTTGAGCACGTTATTTCAGGACCTTCTAGTCTTAGAGTTACCTCTATGGTAGCACTTTTGCCGTTTTCGGAAGGGTACAACCATAGAGGTAACTCTAAGACCACTGGGTCCCGAAGAAAATCATTATTATTTTTGGCTCACTCAGTACCAGAACAACGGTCCCAAGCAGTCCCAAGCTATGAAAAGCATGAAAAGATGACAAAATGATACGCACTCTTTGCCCACTGTCAAAGAATCATTGTACACAAAATCAACTTTGTTCAAATCAAAACAAAAAAACTAACCCATCTGGTGGATGATGGCACAAGCTTCCAATAAAATTCTATTACAGTGAACCACACTATTTAAATGGATTTCTTTGCCAGTTAGTCGTCTGTCACTTCGTTTGTGGTACTACCAACCGGTAACAACTAACGATTTTAAATTGGCTCACTACTTGACTAGCCTATTGGTCCCAAGCAAATCGATTAACGTACCCCATTCTAGTGAAAATTCTGGTACTACACAATGTTTGTTTTGATTGGCTATGAAAGTTTGACAGATAAAATGAGGGGTTATTGGATTTTCCTATGTTTCGAGGGGTGTATTGATTAGCTTGGGACCGAAGATAGTACCAGAGCTGAGCCAAAAAGTTGAGCACGTTTCTTCGGGACCTACCAGTCTTAGAGTTACCTCTATGGTACTACGCAATGTTTGTTTTGATTCGCTATGAAACTTTGACAGATAAAATGAGGGGTTATTGGTTTTTCCTATGTTTCGAGGGGTGAATCGATTAGCTTGGGACCGAAGAGAGTACCAGAGCTGTGCCAAAAAGTTGAGCACGTTTCTACGGGACCTTCTAGTCTTAGAGTTACCTCTATATGGTACTATCCAGTAGTAGTGGTATAGAGATTGCTAAAGTGTGATTGTGTTAGTAATTTGTTTTCATCAGGAAATTTTTTCGCTCTGAAAGATTTTTTCCCGATGAAAACATTTCTCGTAAACGTATACGCTGGGGGCGACCCCGGCGTAGTGGTTAGCATCCATACCACTCACGCCAAAGTCACGAGTTCAAATCTCACCTCCGGACAAGTCACGAATGACCCAAGAGCGTTAAAGTGACTATAATCAAAAAAAAAAAAAAAAAAAAAAACGTATACGCTACTTAGTGTGTGTACGATAAACGTCAGCAATCTCTATTGCCATGTGGTACACTGAAAAATTGCAATAGCAGGTTAGTCACCAAAGTTTTCGAGCCGCTCCGTCTGTCACTTCGTTTGTGGTTTAACAGTGTAGTACACGGTAACCCAGCGTAAACACATAAATGAGTAAAAAAATACACATTTTTAATATTTAGATGCAGCTGTCAAAAAATGTGTAAATTTGGAGTACCTAAAATGTGTAAAAAAATACACATTTTAAGAATGTAGTACCTTTCAAAAAATGTGTATTTTTATACTCATTGATGGGTAAAAAAAAACTTCAAACTTTGCTACATCCTGCTTTGTTGATGCACGCCATTTGCTAAATTTTCAGTGAAGAACAGAAGGTAAATGGAAGAACTACGGTCCAAACTGGACAGTGCGCAACGATGGACTTCTAGCGGGTAGGTGCTTTATACTTTTTTCAAAGCTTTTAGTTTTAGTTTAGTTTATATACTTCATATACTAATTTTTAACGGCGCCGGTGGTGTAGTGGTAAGCGTGATTACCTCTCACCCCAGCAGGCCTGGGTTCAATCCCAGTCGGCGCCGCCGGGATGTTCTGAGGCATAACATCTCTGATCACGCCTTCCTTCGGATGGGAAGTAAAGCCGTTGGTCCCCGGTTCATGAGTTGATGGGTCGATAGGTAGGGTCCAGGTGTGGGAGCTGCCTTCCTGGCACGTCGGTAGCATTGGTGCTCAGCACGGAAAACGAGATCAATGGCTTCACTTCCCTTCCGAAGGAAGGCGTGATCCTCGGCGCGATCAGAGATGTTATGCCTCAGAACATCCCGGCAGCGTCGACTGGGATTGAACCCAGGCCTGCTAGGGTGAGAGGAAATCACGCTTACCACTAACACCTCCAGTGCCGCTACTTATTTTTGTTGATGGCATTTCTTTTTTTAATAATATATATATACAATAATCGAGCAATCTTTATTTTACCACTGACACAAATAAGAAAATTCCAAAGTTAATCAAAAAAACCATGCGCACCCATAATATTTAAGTTCTAGAAATGATTACTTTTTACACATTTTGCTGTAAAAACCGTTCTTGAAAAATGTATAAAAAATACACTTCTTTTGACGTTTGCTGGGTTTACACATAAATGTGTAAACGCAGTTTACACATTTTATGAGTAGGCCCCTTTTTTCACGAAATGTGTGAAATTTTACTCATTAATGTGTTTACGCTGGTTACCGTGTACGCGATTTCCTCAAATTTGGGTTATTGGGCTGAACCCCGGAATTGAGTGAAAAGTACTTAATTTTGGGTAATTTTTCATCTCCGTGAATATCTGGGCAGCTCAGTTCCTGTGGATCTTGTGGAACTTATGTCGTTTTCGATTTTGTGGTGTAGCACCGGTGTAGTGTAAGCAGGAATAAGCGCGAGTCTTTGACAGCTCAACATCATTGTTTGGAAACAAAGATGCATACTATATCAGCACCCTAAATTATTCCGGTGTTCGGCAGTGTAGCACCGGTGTAGCTACACCGCAAAAACGAAAACGACATTATTATCGAACATACTAACCTTATCGATATACTTTGCACTGTTAGGTAGCCGCGCTTGTTTCTGACATTTCTTCCTCAAATTAAAGTTTTTATTTTTCCTGAACAGCGTCCTTTGCTTGGCAAACGTTTTCATTTAATTTATTTCATAAATTTGTGTCAATATGTCGATCGGTGTTCCAATTAAGGTGCTTCATGAAGCGGAAGGCCATATTGTAACCTGCGAGACAATCACTGGTGAAGTCTACAGAGGAAAACTTATAGAAGCCGAAGACAACATGAACTGCCAAATGACGCAGCTGACCGTAACCTATCGCGATGGGAGGACATCTAATCTCGAGAATGTGTACATTCGAGGATCCAAGATTCGGTTCATGATTCTGCCGGATATGTTGAAAAATGCTCCTATGTTTAAAAAGCAGGGAGCGAAAGCTGGTACGGCTGGAAGAGGAAAATCGGCGATTTTACGAGCACAAGGTAGGTTATTTCATTTGCTTGGTGTAACTGGCAGCAGAATATACACCAATATGTAGAACTCCGGAAAACCAATTGATTTTTCTTTTCTTATAGCGGCTAGAGGACGTGGTCGTGGGGGCGGTGGTGGTGGAGGTAATATTTTTGGTTTTTGGTAAAGGGCTGCCTATACCACGTAAACAGTTTATGGAGGGAGGAGAAAGTGTTTCTACGGCTCATACAAATTTAAAAAATTATATTTGGAGAGGGAAAGGGTTTAAAATCTCTCAAAATCTGTCCACGTGGAATATGTGCAGCCCTTAACAAATTCTGGGCAATCACTTCTTATTGTTCTTCTAGGTGGCGGTGGAGGTCCGGGCAACCGTCAACAAGGCAAAGGAAACTGGCAAGGCCAAGGTCCTTCTGGCGGCAGAGGAAGAGGTGGATTGTAATGTTAAGTCTATATAAAAATCGAAAATTAAATACGGAAAATACAAATCATTGTAGGTAATTAGCCGTTTTTTTATTTAACTAATACAGTTTTTTTATAGCTACACGCTTAGGTATTTTCGCCGAGATGGGCACCACCGAGCTAGCTTGGCATTTATTTTTACTGAGATCTCGGCAATATTCCCGTTTGTTAGCTGAATCTCGGCAAATTTTTCACTAAGCTGTTCGGTGGTGCCCATTTCGGCAAAAACAATTTAAGTGTGTAGGAAAGCAATTTACGTGTTTCCTTATTGAAATCCCCTAATTTAGATTCCGTTCGAAAAGGATTTATGATCCATTTTTTGTACGGATCGGAATAGAGAATAGGGATGATCTTGCAGAGTTCATGGAAAAAGCGTCTTCCTACTAATATAGAAAGGTAGAACATTAGATGATCTTTTTCTTGGTAACAACTTTTTATTTGGCACTTTAAAACCTGATCTGCACTTTTATATTGATGTCAGGTGTCAATGAGAGCTTTCGAATGCTATGTTCAGATTGGCGAGTTATAATACTTTGACTATATGTTTTTAGTATTACTTCTACGTGAAGTCAACCATTTACATAGTTGAAGATGCTAATTTCAAATAACAGACTGTAGTGGTAATTTTTATACGATAGATGGAGTAGATGAAAGCATAGAGTTGATAGTTCCGTTAGAGTACGGCAGTGTGAAGATTGTATATAGATATTAGACAAGCATCTTCAACTATGAGTTATAATAATTGTTATTACAGAAAAACACATCCATACTCTGAACATAGCATAAAACCGAAGACAACATATCAAGAAGACTGGCAACTCTTCCATTTTCTCAAACGACCGGCATGAGACAGACACAGTCGCGTTATCTGCCGCTCAAAGATTAATGCTTCGAATGAATTGGATAGCAAAGGTTCCATCCTCAGAAGAAAGTATTGTATGTTGTCTTCGATAAAACGCTGGCCATTGGACATTCGTATATTATGTGATTATAATAATTTAATGATTATTATAAAGATATTCTATGTTAAAGCTGCTGGGAAAACTTACAAACGAAACAGAAAATCACCCTAGACCAGATCGGGAATCGAATCAACCGTCTCCAGCATAATCTTTCATTATTACGTTTCATCATACGTTTTTCTAAACAAAACTCGTATCGATCGAATCCACTAAGGGTTATTCCTTAGCAACGCCATTGAGTTGACTTCATACATGACCGCTTTGGTAAATCGTAGCAACGCCATAAAATAAACTAACAACAAATTTCACAGATTAAAAACTGGTAAACTTCAAGAATCATGGCGTTGCAAAGGTTTAAAAAGAATTTTGTCAAAGATCAATCAAAATTAACTTATGTGAATAGTATTGAAGAACACCCCCTGATACCAGGAGTGTACACGAGGCATCAGTAAGCACAATACATTGATTATGCAAAGTTTAAACTGACCTTTCAAAGTAATGTTTTTTTCTTTCAGTCCTAGAGAATGTAGTCATTTATTACGTTTTCGTCCGATCCATATGCGATATGATAATCCATATGAAGGGAAAGAAATAGAACAGCTTGTTTCGAAGGATAATATTCGAAATTTGTTAATTCCTAGCCAGAATGTGTCCGTTTATCCAGTTATTTGGCATAAAAAGGAATATCGTAAACTACAGAACAAGGCGAAAGTGAGTAATATTCAAATTTACTGTAGATATTATCGGTACAGTTGAAAACCAGAAAACCCCACATGCGTAATCGATTTTATTCTTGTTCTGTGCTTAACTTAGTGGCGCACATAGTGCGCTGTATTCGAGACTGATAGTACGTTCAGACTACAGAGTTATAACATGTTATAGCGCTATCTTGATGGTGGTTTCTGTGTTGCAATTATTTGACAATCGTTATAACATGTTATAACTCTCCACTCTGTACAGCGTTTAACGTACAGAATGTGAGTAAAATCGAATGTTGCGTGTGGGCTTTTCCGGTGTCCAACTTGACGGACAATAGTGAGGCTCCAGTGGCGGTAAGCTCCAACTCAGATAAACTTTTAATAATGACCCTGATTTGTGGATCTGTCAAATGTTTGTTTATGTCTTATCGATTAACACCGACATCGACCACAAAGCAGCCCGACATTGGTGAAAGGGATTTAATCCGAGGATAATACCGGTTGGAGCTTACCACCATAGGCCAAGTATTGCTTATATAGTACTTACGTAAAGAATCAATAATACTTTAATATACATCATTTAATATATTTATACAACCTAAAAAGCGCAAGACGTGGAGCTTATAAAACTAAATATTGGTCTCATAACATGTTTTGGAAACATAATAAAAACCAGCGGCAAAATAAAATTAGCATTGGATTCGCACCCTGGTCCTTGGCGTGGTAGACTTATTACTTCCTAACTAGACCAACTCCGCTTTATAAAAGTTGTATTATAAGTATCTATCATGTTCTTGCCAATGGTATGAAAATTATATTTTAGTGCAACACGCCTTCGATCCGTCATAATGACATTTTGAAAGCAGCAAAGCGTACATTTATTACAACAATTTCTAGAGTGTTATTTAAAAGTATGTTCAACTCCTTATAAGGCAACCTGCACCTTTGCAGTTGTTTTAATTTATGAGATGTCATAAAAAGTGTTTTCTACTTTCTTTATAACAAACCTCCGAAAACCTCATAAGAAACTTGTCACTGCGTGAAGAGACATTCCGACGTCAATGTTTACGTCAAACTGAAAAGTACAGAATCTCTTCAAGAACGTAAAAATTCAACTAAGATTGATTTTGTATACGACAAGTTTTATAGTGGTATTAAAACAGAAAGATGCACGTTTAAATAACATTTAATGATAAAAGCAAAAGAAAATTATTTTGGAAAATGATGAAATCTAGGAAGTATGAAGAAAACATCTATAAACCTCATATAAAACGAGGGATGTTTTCTGCATCACTTATAGTACGTTCAGACTACAGAGTTATAACGTTATAATATGTTATAGCGCTATCTTGATGGTGGTTTCTGTGTTGCAATTATTTGACAACCGTTATAACATGTTATAACTCTCCAGTCTGAAGAGCGTTTAAAATACAATGTTTTTCTTCCGACTGTTTCATCTTAGTATTTTTCTTTGCTGGTAGTGCAAAGGGTGGTGAAGGTCGAGGTGATAGTGCAAAGGCAAAAGCAGCCCACGGTGAACCACCGAATGTACACTAATAAAATTTCACACATTTTTATTAACGAATTTCCATGTGAAATTCCACATGATTTTCATGTGACCACACATAAACAGAATCCACCCAGAAGCACAAATGAAATTTATGTGTCGAATGAATAGTATGTGTGGTTATACATGGCTTTTATGTGTACACATACCTATTAAGTATGCGTCCGACACAAAAATATCATTTTGTTGATCACATTGCAAACATTCATGTGCGGGACACATAAAAACAATCTTTGAAATTTTATCAGTGTAGCGTTCACTACTGAAGAGGGCGAGCAGTCTGCGGGGATCTTTGATAGCGGGGCAAGTACCCACATGACGAACAACTTCGCTAAAGGAGTTCACTGGCGAATGCATTACACTGGCGGACGGGAAGCGAACGCAAGTGCTTGGCAAAGGAAGTGGAGTGTTGTTCGGCTTCGATGGCGAAGATGAAATTGTGAAGATTGACATGAGTGGTGTGAAATTCGTGCCTGGACTGTCCACGAGCCTAGTGTCTGAGGTGTCTGTAGGAAAATTGACACAACAGGGACTGAAAGTGTTTTTTGATGAAGCAAGTTGCCAGATCGTTGACAAGAAGAAAATCGTTGTAGCAAGTAGAGGTCGCTGTGGTGGTTTGTATCACCTAAAGGTTGCTGGTTTATCGATGAAGGCTTTCGTGGATCAGCACAAGAAAAACTGCCAGCACCAGTGACATCGCCGTATGGGCCGCCGTGACTGGGCAGCGGTTGAGAGAATCAACAAGGAGCAGCTAGCGTCCGGTATGAAGGTAAGCGACTGTGGGTTGAAGCTATAGTTTGTGAGTGCTGTATGGAGGGGAAATAAGCTAGGGCTCCCTTTCCGGAAGCGAAAATCATCCCAAGTGTTGGCCATTGTGCACACCGATCTGTGAGACAGTCTCGCTTAGTTGAAATCGGTATGTTATGAACCTCGTGGATGACTACAGCCGGTTTAATGTAACCTACTTGCTTATGAACAAATGGGAGACTACAGAAATAATCCAAGAATATGTACGATGGGTAGCAAATGTGTTCGGCCGTAAACCTCGGATCATTTGGTCGGACGGAGGTGGGGAATTTGATAATAGATAGTTACAAAAATTCTACAAAGAAGAGGGCACTACTCACCGCAGCAGTCGCTCACCGACATTTCAACATGCATGCTGCTGGATGCGAACCTGGACGAGCGATATTGGGGCGAGGCCGTTTCACTCCTACATACTTCAAGAACCGGCTACCATCGAGATCGGTTCAGAAGACTCCCTGCGAACTGTGGTGGGGACGGAAGCCGTAAATGGGGCACCTACGCGTGTTCGGGCACGAAAGCTAGTTTTTGTCTGCTATTCGAACGAGCACAAAGACTACCGATTCGTTAATCCGGAGTCATACGCGATTACGATTAATCGCGATGCTAAGTTCGTGGAGCTTGGCAATGGAACATCGTCGGTGGAAATTCCTATGGCGAGTGAACCTTCGTGCGTAGAAGAGTTTGTTGATGAAGATGAGGAGAAAAAGTCTAATAATCACGATGACGATGGAGCATCGGATGACTTAGTGCAGGATGATTTCTATGAAGCGGATGAACAAGGTCATGAAGCTGATGCTGAGCTACGGAGATCCCGAAGTCAGAATCGTGGCAATCCACCGCGGTATCTCGAAGATTACGTGTTGGATGAAGTCGTTGGATTTGCTGCCAGTGCTTACGAGGAGCCGAACAACTACAAGGAAGCTATGAAGGAACCGAAGTTGCACAGAGTCATGGAGGACTAGCTTGAGTCTCATCGGCGCAACGGGACGTGGGAGCTGGTGGAGTTATGCCGTGAATGGAAAGTTGTCGGATCGAAATGGGTTCTGAAGATCAAGCGGAACGAAAAGGATGAGGTGGTCAAATACAAAGCACTAGTGGTAGCGCAAGGCTACACTCAACAATCGGGAATCGATTTTGATCAAGTATTTGTGCCTATGACACGGATTGCAGCCCTACGGACGTTTCTCGTAGTGGCTGCCAAGCGGAATATGCCAGTACACCACTTCGACGTTAATACTGCCTACCTATACGATATACTTGACGAAGAGATATACATGAGGCAACCGCCATGATTCGAAGTACCTGGAAAGTTGGAGAGAGTCTGCAAATTCAAACGTAGCATTTACGGACTGCGTCAGTCAACACGTGCTGCTGGAATGCAAATCTGAAGCAGGTTTTGATCAAGCTGGGATTCACAGCTTTAACTGCAGATCAATTTTTGTTCGTAAGAGGATCTGGACAAAACCAATCGTTTTACTGGTGTATGTTGAAACCGATCATTGTCAGTCAAACACAAACACTTCAGTTACAGATGCTGTCAAATTTCGATATTGTTGAAATAAACATGCTTTTGAATTTAATTCAAACATAAGTATTTTAATTTTAAACGTCCTTTCAATTTACTTTGAAAAATTCATATGATTAGAGTATAAACATTCATATTTTTGATTTAAATGATCAAAATTCGTATCCGTGAAGTAGAAGGGGACCTGCGGACCCTTCGCAGACTACGAGGCTGGCGAACTGTGGCCATGGATCGAGTAGAGTGGAGACGACTTCTTCGGACAGCAGAGGACAACAAGGTCTTAACCTGATTGGTAAGGTAAGTAAGGATACCCATACATAAATTCAGAAATCGACTAAATTTTCAATAGCGACCAAAAATATCCATGAGTACCGCCCCAATGACGCGTTCATCTAGATAAAATTGATAAATAGCAGATTTTTAGCGATGGGCCCAATCTTAGATCCATAGGCCAACATTAGAGCCATTTTCCTTATGTGTCAGACACATAGCTCATATGTGTACACATAAAATTCATGTGTAACCACGCATACTATTCATTCGACTAATAAATTTCATGTGTACTTCTGAGTGGATTCTGTTTATGTGTGGATACATGAAAATCATGCGGAATTTTACCTGGAAATTTGCCAATAAAAATGTGTCAAATTTGATGAGTGTAGGGATGAAGATAATACGAGATGCAGGAGTTTTCAAGATCCGTCCACGCAATTACATCAACTGGAGAAGAATACAATGGATCAGGCGAAAACGTTGAAGTCTCCAATGGATCAAATGTATTTTGAAACTGTCGGTGCGGGAGAATTCTTCGAGGATCCTACCAAATATCGTGGTCTGGTCGGAGGATTGTTATATTTAGCCATGCTGGTACGCCCTGATATCGTAGCATATACGGCAATACATTGAAGACAGTTTAATGCTCCAAGGCAAGGTGATTGGACTGCTGCTAAACGATTGCTCCGATACCTCAAATTGACGAAAGACTGGTGTTTGCTACAGGAAGGCGATGCTGATCAACCACTAATTGGACATTCGGATTGGGCGGGAGACCCGGAAAACAGGAGGAGTACATCTGGATTCGTATTCGAATTGGAGGAGGAGTCATCTCATGGGC